AAGTGACCTAGAACAGAAACACAAGAGTCAGCAGACAGAAACACAGGATACAAGCCACTACTGCACAGCATTGCATTTGAGGGGCAGTGCTAATAATCCTGTGCTGGTTACTGCCCCAAATTGCTTATGAGAGAGCCGAACAGCCAACACTAAGAAGGGCTTGAGCTCATGTTAAGTTCTCCACACTCTTCTAGCCTCCTCCACTGAAAAACTGCACTTTGTTAAGCCTGTAGGAGAAGCTCTTTGCTAGTGTCACCTCTGCAGCAATGGTACTGGCCACACTGACAGGGATATAGTACTTTTTGCTGAGAGATGCCCAACAGTAAGCAACTCCAAAGCCTGGCAGTGGTGAGCACATGCACACATCCCTTCCAACCTGCTGTGCTCCTCCAGATTTGCATGCTTAACTAACACAAGGACTTGGCTTAAGGTCACTTGGACAACCCCCAGTCAGGGTCTGGGCTCTGAATACACCTAATATTCAGTCCTTTTGGTTTTCAAAATCAGCTCACCTCAATTGCACATACTGTAAACACCAAGCAAGGGCTCAGTGATTGCGGGGTGGGTGCCTACATTTGTTTCCTTAAGCATGTCACTGCTGTCACATACTAGCTTGATTTCTAGTCAGTATTAAAACTTCAGAGTTCCTAAAACATTTAGGCATCTGCCTGCCATATTTCAAACCTTTATGCCGACATCTAACTCTTGCTGCTAAAGACCTACTTAAATCATAGACCAGAGTTTATGTCCTGTTTATGTTCTGCATTCCGGTCAAGAGTTAAAGCAGTAACAAACTACTTGTGGCAGATCTCCACCAGTATGCCACTTAGGCACTTCTGAATCCCTTAACCTTCAGCAACGGGGGAAGAAACGCTTCCCTTGCACCTTTTACAAGGTGTTAGGCTGCTTTCTGAAAATGGACTCACTTCTTCACCCCCACAAAAGGGAGGGGAGCACAGAGGAAAGTTATGCCCCTTCCTCACTATCTCTCACAGCTACTCAAAGCAGTTGCTCAAGGCTTTGACCAGGGGATGCACATTGCCTCCTCTGGTGCCTACCTTGTCCTCATAGTGTGCCTGCAATCAAATGGCAGGGCTGGCCCCTACCTCCACAGCCACAATGGACATACCAAAGCCACAGGAGGAAGAGAGGTCAAAGCTGCTGAATTACAGCAAGGCTGGTTAATGTAGAAGGCTGAAGGAAGACAGGGAGATTATCAAGCCTCCAGTGGAGAATGCCAAAAACTCTGTCCAGGAGAAAGGTGAAGGAACCAAAGGTTCATTGTTTCCAGTACCCAGGGGACTGTTTGTTCCTAAGTTCTCTGTTTAAAATAGAAAAGCTATTTACCTGAGCTCTCTGGCTTTTGTTTCATTTTGCTTTCTTATTCTTCTTGGCTGAGGGGCTTTGGGGTAGGAAGAAGAAGGAGAATGCTATGACTTTCAGATTCTTTTTATAACGTTTCCAAGAGAATCACTTTCTCTTTACTTCATGTCTTTTATTTTACATGGTGAAGAACTCAAACTATTAAAAGCAATGTGAAAGAAGACCACACGTGAAGAAGAATTCACAGTAGCTTTTTACATACAGTGATGCATGTAACAGCAGTTTCTTAGGGAATAAAGCAGGAATATGACAGTTTTAAGTCAGATGAGTTACACAGAAAACAGTTTAACAGCACACCATTTTCAGTAACGTTGCTGCAAACATGTGGCTTTTCAGAGGAGACTGAAGTAACTTTTTGCCAGATTTATTTCCCCCAAATGAAGCACATTTTGAATGCTTTAAACGGTCACAGGAACAGAAAAGTCAAGCTGTACAAAACACAAGTCAGCTATCTTGCACAATAGCAATCTAAGATTGCAAGACTGCAAGATCTGGACTGCACTAGGCCAAGCTGCTAGAAATAAAAAGTCCTGACTGGAAAGTTTGCCCACAGAAACAGCCCCATCCTTGGGCTCCTCAAGAGAGGAGAACTGAAAATCTTTCCTGTTTGTTGAAAAAGATGATACCATTAAAATACTGAGGCTATCTGGAGGCTACAAAGCACTTACATGCAGCTCTGTTACTGCTATCATCAGGCATTTACCTGCAACTGATTTCATAACAGCATACAGCACTGCCACAACAGATAACATTCCTGTCTCCCTTAAGGCATCCACAGGGTTGCCACACAGTTCAGCATGAACTCAAGGTTTCTCTCTTTCTACCTCTGCTTGCAGTTCAGCAAAAAAATGTTCCACTATACAACACATCTGTATCTGTCAGCATATAAATGAGTGTTCAGTGAAACCAATGCAGACTTAAATGAAATTTAGTTACCTTTTCTCAGAAGCTTTTTGAAAAATTGAGAGGAGTGATCCATTAAAAAAAAAAAAAAGTGAATTAAAAAGTTACAAGATGCCCTACACTCATCAGTTCCTAATGTCATAATAGGGAAAAGGCAGACAAAACCACTTCAGTCAACATAAATGGGAAGGAAAAAAGGCTGCAGGTGACTCAAAACTCTGTACCGGGGTGCAAGAGCAAAGGATTACTAGAAGGCTAATGACTAACAAGCCCAATTTAAACAGCTCTACAAAAAGGCAGCTCTTGCTAGGTTTGACTTTATATACAGCACTGTGACATCTAAAACAAATAACCATTGAGGCTGCTAGTTATTTATACCAGCTGAGTAAACTGCTTATTACTGCTCTCACTTCAATTCAGCTCCATGTTACAGGTGTCTCTCCTAATACCACTGTAACACTCAGTCAGAAAAGGCAACTTAAATGTCATGCAGCAAACCATGAGATTTAATTTAGGGAAGCTTCAATTACACTGTCAAGCACTGTAGAAAGTGAGTTAGGCAGTACATGGACCAGCAGTGTCCAAACTGTAATGGGAAACTGTGCACATTAACACTTCATCTCTGAAAGGACCCTTGATAGTCTAGCGAGCAGCATAAAATGCCCTAGCCATCACAAAGAGACACAGGGTAAGTGCTGCAAGAGCCAGTTCTTTACCTATTTTAAGGATGAAACACTTCAGGATGTCCTCCAAAATCAGGTTATGCTGACCCTTAAACCTTCCTTGCAGTAATCAGGCAAAGGAAAGATAAAGAAAGAGCTTTTCCACAGTCAGCTAATTGCAGTATGAGGGTGTCATCAACCACAGTAAGATGTAGCGTGTTGCTAATAAACAAGTCACACTTCCTGAATGAAGTGGCAACCATCACAGAGGCCTAAAGATCATTATTTGCAGAGCAAGAAGAAAAACTTCCTTTGAAAGAAAAGCAGAAATGTGCCCATTTTAAAAGGTAAAAAAAAAAAGTAGAATAGCCCTTCCCCACAAATGTATGACTGCTGAATCTACTGAATGCAGAACTGACAGTATAATGGTTAGAAAGAATGGAATTGCTCTTGTGCTCTTTAATGTGTTACATTAACACACATTATTGCCTGAAAATTAGATTGCTTTCTTATAGATCTGAACACTGCTTTCTTTTTATGCTAAGTCACATACAACAATGAGAAGACTGGGTTCTATGCTGGTTTTACAGACTTGCCAGAGTTCTACAGCAAATTCGCAGCTAACACATTATACATGGAAAAAAGAAAAAAAAGAAAAAAAGAAAAAAAAAAGAGAAACATCAAGAAAAACATCCACAATGTGTGTAATTTGGAGCAAGATTAACATGTCAGAACACATTGCTGTTCCCAATGTAGAAGGGAAGGAACCATTAAAACTTCTCTAGAGATTTCTGACTGAAGTATGTAACCACTGCCCCTGTTCTTTGTGTCTTGCCAGCTGTATTATTACCTTTTAACTACTAAAACACCACTATTCTGGGAACAGCTGCTGTGTTTGGTACTTACATTCATGCTGCTCGTAGGGCGGATATGAAAGTCTTACAGAGATCAAGATGAAGAAGATAAACAGAGGCCAGGCAACTTCGATCAGCAGCTGGAACTGGAAACAACAAAGAAAATATTAAGACATCATATTCAAAATACAGGACAGAAGAGAGTTTCCAGGACAATCCGCTCATAAGCCAGGACAGTTGTGCAAGTACTGCCTCATTTCACATTGTCTATGCATTCCAGGACCAAGAAGTTTGTTCCTCCAGCTTCAGAGGATAATCTGCAAAGAATTATAGACTTTTCTCATTGATATGTGCCAGTTATGGGACTAAACTGGATGTGCTTAAGGGCTGTTTCTGGCTTTTTGTAGTTCTTTTTGTTCCCTGACTGAAAGAAACCTTCTTGTGAATCTTCCAAAACTGAGCTGGATTTTTGGCCTCATATTTTAGAAGTAGTGGGAAGAAATTGCATCCCATTCTCACAGTAAACCATTCAGCTTCAAGGGGTAATGGGTTTAAACTTAAACAAGGGAAGTTTAGATTAGATATAAGGAAGAAGTTCTTCACAGTGAGGGTGGTGAGGCACTGGAATAGGTTGCCCAAGGAAGTTGTGAATGCTCCAACCCTGGCCATGTTCAAGGCCAGGTTGGACAGAGCCTTGGGTGACATAGTTTAGTGTGTGGTGTCCCTGCTCATGGTAGGGGGGTTGGAACTAGATGATCTTAAGGTCCTTTCCAACCCGAACTATTCTATGATTCTATATCAGGCACAGAAATTGTGCCAGTGCACAGCTATGCCAAATATTTCCATTTCAGTGCTGCACAAGTATATTGGTATCAGGAAAGCAGAGATTCTAAAATTAAGCTCATACTTAGTTTCTGTTTTGGTTTAGTACACATTTGTTCCCAAAGATAGGCACTCACTGGTCCAGGGTACCTACAGACAGGTGGTGTGTGTCAGATAACGACGAAGAACTCAGTTATTTAGAGGGACAAGTATAAGAAAGGTCTGCTATTAAGTGGAGAGCATTTTTTAAGACAGGAAATTGAAGCACAAAAAAATTCACTGAGATGTGCTGCATCCTAGAGAAGCATGCGGACAAAGCAACACTTCAGCCTAGAGCTTCTGAGACACAAGCTGAAGTTTCCCAGGCTTGAGCTTCACCAGCCATATCCCTCCATTCCCAGTCCAGAATGTAAAATGTAAACATACATTTTAGGTAAGCCATGAGACAAGGGAAACGGAAAGCTTTCTATGCTGCTACTTCTTATGTTTTTCCTCCTTTGGGAGAAGGAAACCAGAATGTTTTCTTAGTCAAGTAAAGAGAAATCTTTTCCCCTTCTTTCCTGGAAAACCCCATCTTTTCTAATATGATGCCTACATCACTCTTATTACAAGCCAGATAGGATAAGACTTGGGGTATCAGTGGGATAGAGAATCCCTACAAACATTTTTTCCCATGTTACACCATTAACAGCTAAAATTAAGCTCTTGACACTCAGCACAAGACACTCGATGCAAACTTTGAGATGAGACTTCTGGGTCACTGTCATACCTCAAAATAATCTCACACTGTAATAACAGCATATTAAATCAAATTAAAGCAAATGCCATTTGATCCATCTAAGATGGCACTTCACAGACACCCTTAATGGCTGACATCCAGCCAATAGCAACCCTATCTGGAAGACATAAGAATTGAGCATCAGAGTCTCCCAGGCACATCTGGTTAACAGTGCCAGGCTCTGCAGGATGAGTCTGGGATACTGGGAAAAATAACTCCCATTATTTTTCATGCACATACTGTATGACTACTGGATAAGACACACTAAGAAAGATGCCAGGCAAATGCCTCAGTATCTTTGTTTTCTGTTTGTACAATAAACAATGTAGTGGCAGCACACACATAGCCATTAACAGTCACAGCCTGCTTCCTTCTGCATTAAACAGTGGTCTGGCTCCAAGAGGTCAGACGCTTAGAGCTAGGGCACTGACAACTTGCATATTCCTTCTCCTTTCAGGATCCTGTCGCAGCTGCTGCCAGGATGGCCTATCAGAGCTCTTCCTCCTGACAGAAAGGTGGCTGTGAAACCAGGGCAAGTCATTCTCTCTTCCAGCATCAATGGCCATGCTTTGGCACACATCACAGCCCTCTGCCACTCTGGCCGTAGGCAAGAAGCATGCAACTGCTACTACACTGTCTGGGAAGAGTGGCATCAGCTGAGCTTGTGGAGGCTTCTCAGAGTAATCAAGTTAGCCTCTCACAGTCCTGCTACTGCTACAGAACCAGTGAGAAAACGCTGCCCTTGAGATCACACCCTTGCTTGCTCAGAGAAGTATCTGCCCCAGTGACACCACATTGAGGTGGTCGGTAGTGTCCAAACAGCCCTGTCGTTGAAGGGGTAGCCTGGCCAACTGCACACATAGCTCCTCAAAAGAGAAGCTCCTCAAAAGCATGCCCGATTATGGTTAATTACACAATCATTAAGGTAACCACATGCTGGCTACATGCACACCGTATACCTCTGCACACATACGTCTAACTTCAGATAGACAGGCTCAAGGGAAGACAGAGAAGGGAGGGATGCAGCTTGGACTGATTGAGTTGCACCTTTACAGCTGAAGACTTGCTGCTTCATGGCAGCCATTGAAATGTCCTTAGTGAGAGACAGCTGTCAACTACTGTACCAGAGTCTTGCACAGGGTCAAGTTCAGTGTGTCAGTAGCATTTCAGTAGTTTGGACTCCATGGTGCTGTTCAACAAAAATTGAATTCTCTTGCTCTGCTCCTAAAGGTCAGTATGTTCCTTCCCTAACACTTCCTGACCTTCCTGTGACAGCATTTTTCATCCACTGTGGCCTTTGCAGAGGAAGAAAGAGATACTGAAGGGGACAGGTCTCAGGTTCATACTAAGTAGACACTGAAAAATCAAGTTTCCTTTCACGCTGCAACTGCTAGACCAGCCTGGTAAAAGATAGTGAAATAATCTTCAAATCTCCAACCCTTTTGCGACCCCTGCTCCACCTGGAGTTGGAAGAACATCCTATTTGCACTGAGCAGGTGAATCCAAAGGCAGCACTCAGCCAAGAACAAACTGCTCCTAATTTTACTGAGGCTAGTCCCTGAAGCATGCCAAATTTGTACCAGTTGGCTGATGACACGGGATACCATTAAATATTGAGATCTACACTGTGTCAACAGGAAATCTGTTGAGCAAGAACTAACCAAACTATCACCCCATCTCACTATCAACCACTATCTTTACCTTTGTGGGCCAGTTTCAATGCAGAGGACTACCAGCAGCTGACCAGTTTCTCCATGCAAGTTCGAGGCATCTCCTCATTCACAAGACAGCAGGGAGAAAGAAGGGTTTTAAACAGTGAACCCCGCACATGACTTTCTTTCTCCCTCTCCTGTAAACTCCTTCCCCCACACTCCAGTGCTGTTGGAAGTTATCCAGTACAAAGTAACACTTTGAATTGCACACGTCAGGGTGAGCTTTGAACCCCAGCTTTCGCAACGCAGCCCAAACTCACAGCAGCCAAGGCAGAGGGTTCGGTGGGAAGCAAAGGCTAGCCCACGCTTCTTGTGGGAAGAAGGGTAAGGATCAAACTATTTCTGAGCCACCTCTTCAGTAAGTACAAATGGGACAGAGATATCACCAGCACACCCAGCTCAAGGACAACGGTTCTAAAAGTAAAAACAACAGCTGAAACTGTTCAGCCATGCTAACAGTGTGGTGAGATGTTCTGCTACTTTTCTGCCATTTTCTGTTAAATGGCCTTCCCCCCCGATATCTTCAGGTAAAGCCCAAATGGAAACCAGTAATGAGAAAGAACCTACAAATACAGGAACCCCACAAAACCAAGCAATGTCTTAGGCCTTCATCATGAATTGACTGATAATACCAGTGTGAAACAGAGACTATGAGCAGTTTCTAGTTTCAACCCTTTGGGCTACTTGATGCGAAAGCAATACAGAATCTGCCAGGAAGTACCAAGAAATAGCTGAGCAGATCCAAGACCATGATGAAACTACAAGCAGGAAGGCCTTTTACACTGACATACGCTTAGCCTTTTGCTAGGATCTATCACATAGATATTACTGCCACCACTGTAACCACAGAGGCATAGAGGAAACATCAAAGATGCCACAGGCCTTCTCTGTCTGGTTTTATTTAAGAGTGGACTAATTCGAGATTTTGAGTTCACTGGACACAAGTCCTGTGAAAACAAGCCTCAATCAGACACCTGAGCAAAGACTCCAGGGACTGCCTCCACCTCCCAGTAGTGAATATGATAGCCTCCCCTCCCTTGTGACTCCAAGCTTCTAAAACAACCCAGCCCCAACCAGCTGGCAAGCACCCTGACATTTGCAGGGTTGAGAAAGCTTATCGGAGAGACCACTTTCCACTCACCACCTCAGTAACTCATGTTCCCTTCACATTCCCTACTCATACCACCTCAAGGTCAGATTTAACAGGACAGATCCTCTGCAAAGGCCCATTGGACAGGACATGCCCTCGTCCAACACAGTTATCCCTAAATCCCTGGAAGACAAATAGCACATTTTTTCCTGGCTTTTAGCTGCCTGCAGGAGCCACAGCATTCTGTGAGGTCTCATTAATGCAAGGCAGACAAATTTTAAGAACACCATACTGGATTCAGGCTCTTGTGCCTTTGTCCACATGGAAAAACTCTGATTGCATATTGTCTAACAGGTACGTTCCCACACTCCTAACAGATGGTGAGGCTAGCACTTAAACTAATCAGAATGCACCTTGGTAGAAAAACATCAATTGTCTGAATTTGTCTTCACGCCAATGTAACATCTCTTATGCCAGTTCCTTAAAGTATACCTCCTGCGGTAAAGTTACACAACGGGCTTGGGTTTCTCTCCCTGATTGAAAATGCCTGCTATTGCCTCCACCACTTCTGACATTAGGAAATGGCACAATTATGTTGTTGTTGCAGCTTACAGCAGTCAAAAGCTTTTAGACTGGAGCGCACATCCCAGCAGTCTGGCAATGCCTCACCTGCAGAGCAGAGCAGGTCATAGCACAGGTTTCCATTTAACATCTTTCTTGCCGCACACGGCGGTGATACACCCTCTCTGCCATGGTCTGACATGACCATTTCATTATTCCGACACTCTCTCATGCTCAGGGATTCAGGACAGAAGTCTCGAGCACCTTCAAACGCCCGGTTTCTGCCCACCCAACACTCTTTAATTTGATTTGGGTCTTTCCAAAGACAGATCAGTTGTTCTGCCAGGGACCATTGGAGATAAAACATTAAGATACAGGACATTTCCCTGTAGCTACAAGGCTACAACTTAGCCCTCAAAAAGAAAAAAATGCTTTGGCTGATACTTACAGTCTGTCGTCTTCTGTAGGTGAAGTTCTTCCATAGCAGCAATCCCAGCTGCGTCCAGAAAGCCATCTTCTGACAGCAAAGCCTAGGAGCTCCCTCCTGTTGTGCAGCAGCAGTGGCAGTACACAGCAGAGATGATGTGGCTGGGCATTAACTGGGTGGGGGGGAAGAAAAGCAAAAAGAAAAAAAAAAGAAAGAGTTGAAAGGGAAAAGCTGTATTAGACAGACCAGAAAAGGCACCACTGCTTTCTTACCAGAGGCATTCCAGCCAGGTCTCATGGGTCTCAGTTAAGATCAGACTTAGACTCACTGTCTCTTACCTCAGAGCTCTAAGGCACAAAAGAATGCAATACCTGCCAGACAACAATTTGCTTCCTTCCTGCCCAAAAAATTCCAAGAGCAAGAACAAGGAAAAATAAATCACAGGCTTTGAAAGCTGACTTAGAGACTCTTCCTGAATGAGACTGAACCACACAATTCAGCCCTATTTGGGGTTTGGGTTTTTTTTCCAGCTTCTTTCCATATTTACTTTTATAATGGTGAAAAGCCTGATGCCCAATTAGGAAAGCCTTTGTTTTGAAGTCCAGTTAAGACTGCCACTTACAGGAGAAAGTGCTATGCACTTCACAGGCAAAGAAGGAGAAACATTCATTTCCTTGAAGGTAAGTGACTAAGAACAGCCCTGCAGCCATTCATATTTGGATAAAGTGAACAGAAAATTGCTGTTGAATCAGTGTTCAGGTTTTGTAATCACCTGGCTCCCAACACTGTTGTCAGTTGGGTGCATTCAGTACGAACCTTGTGAGAGTATGAGAAAGCATAAAGGGTCAAAAAACACATTCATCATTTTCGTGGCTATTAATAATAGCATTATATAGGCTTCGATACACACAGACTTCCAGGAAGATTCAGTCAAATGGAAGCTTCCTGTGTATTAGTTAAGCATCATTAAACCTTTTCAACAGAATTAATTTGGCATAGATTAATTTGCTTTTGAGTTTAAGGCCACTTCAGATTAAGAGTAATTTCATCCTGAGTAGGCGTCCACACAGGAGTTTAGTTAATCCACATCAAATTATCTGATTTATGTACTTGAATACACCCTGCTGACAGGCTCAGTGTTAACAGAACAGCTAGCAGCCGATCCAAACACACAGTGAGAGACCCATTCCCTCCAACATCTGTTAAACTGGGAACACACATGCTTTTGATTCTACTGTCCCACATACCAGTACCGTAGCCCTATTCAGATTCAGAGTTGCATGCCTGAATGCAAACTGCATTGAAAATGTTCCCAAAATCCATAAATGTGCTAGGAACATAAGACTTGCCCAGGAAATGCTCTGACCAGTCTTACACTGGAGTAAGACTACATAATAAACAGCAATTCTGGATGTGAGCTTTAAGTTAATGAACACTTGTGGCCTTTAAGTCTCTCCCAAAAGTAAATGACATTAATACAATGACTTGCAAACTAAAAACTTGTCTCTAACAATGTATGTCTGTGCAACAAAAAAAAGTTTCCCTAACATGACTAACAAAAACAATTAAATCCATTACACCAAGTTCTACATATAATTACACTGTAGTATCACAACAGGACAACAATGCTTCTTAATGCCAGTACTGGGAAGCAAAGAACAATAACAGATGCCTACAAAACCCTACAAGATTGAACCTCGTGTCAGCGTGCAGGCAGCTGAGTGTACAGTCAGCACAGGCTCATGAACTTCTGCCACGTACTGCTGTAATTCACCGATTTGACCTCTACAGATGCTCCTTCACAGAGGGATGCACGACTGACCTGACAAGAGCCTTCCTCCCCTGCCCAGTGCTTCCTGCTGGTTAGAGCACCCTGACACTAACACACTCCAGCTGCATGCACATCTGGCTTTTAGGCAGTGAATTCCTACACATACTCAGACACTTGACAGGCTAATAGCACATCCACAGCAGAGAATAACACTGCTTTTTGTGAACAATCTCAGAGGACAAACCCTGGCTGCTGAAGACTGTGCACACATGCTCACAGATCCAAAGCATACCTTAGCTTACCAGCCTGGATATACTGCAGCTTGTCTGCATGTCATCATTATACAAAGCTGGAATTAACATGTTAGGCAGAGATGAAACTAAGTAGGGAATGTTACCACTCCTTTGTACCCCTTCCACCGACCCATTTCTGCACAGGATTCAGTGGTAGGACAAGGGGTAATGGGTTTAAACTTAAACAGAGGAAGTTTAGATTAGATATAAGGAAGAAGTTCTTCACAGTGAGGGTGGTGAGGCACTGGAATAGGTTGCCCAAGGAAATTGTGAATGCTCCAACCCTGGCCATGTTCAAGGCCAGGTTGGACAGAGCCTTGGGCGACATAGTGTGTGGTGTCCCTGCTCATGGCAGGGGGGTTGGAACTAGATGATCTTAAGGTCCTTTCCAACCCGAACTATTCTATGATTTGGCAACAGTGCTTTTACTCGCTTTCTAAGCAGCCTAGAATGCTACTTACACAGTGCACAAGTGCTCTGTGACCACTAACCTGGTGCAAAAATCTTTCACAGGACATTAGGAGAATTGCTCTTTTCAAGCATTTTCCCACAAGGATACTGGTCTGCGAGTCACAGACCTCCATTTGCTTTGCTGTGCTCTGCAGCATGCCACAAACAGTAAGCCCTTCTGTCCAAGTCTAATCCTGCAGCTACTGGACAAGTTCAGCATACAGAAGTGGAGGACAGGAAGGGACTGCACAACCTTCTACAATCACTGGTTTTACCTTCAGAAGGGTGTTAAGAGTACCCACTCCATATTGCCCCCTCTACAACACTGTCAATTCTCTGCAACAAGCTACTTACCAGTGCTTTCTAGCAATTACATACAGCCAAACACCAAAATCCACGAATATAAAGTGCCACAGGAAGAGTACAGGAAGAGAGCCAAGAGAGAGCCAAAGGGATCAAGCCATCAATGTAAACACACTGAACTTCTGTGCCTTAATACCCTGCACAGAGGCAGAATAAAGTTTGTAGCAGTCTGTGGGATGTTTGAACTAATCATAGGTTTAATCCACGCCAGTGAAAATCCAGACACTGGTCCTTCACAATTGCAGTCAGTTCACAGGATCCAGAACACAGAAATACTGCTTTGTAGAGGGTGTAGGATTCACATTGCACTAGCGAACTGTACTGAGATAAGGGGATATATCTGATCATTTAACACATCTCAGCTGATCAGCAGAAGCCTGTGCAGCCAAAGATTTAGCTGTGGCCGTCTGCTTGGACTCCAGCTAAACTTTATAGGGACCAAAGCAAATGTTCTGGCCTTCAAATAAGGCTAGCTTGCCTGGATACAAGTTTCAAATGAAACACAAATACTGATTTGTAAGGACTGTGCCTGAAGACTGGAAAACCTGGCCCAGATATAGGTACTACCAGCTAAGTCTGAAGAAAAGAAGGCTGCGTGGAGACCTCACAGCAGCCTCCCAGTATCAAAGGGGGCCTATAAGGATGCTGGGGAGGGACTCTTCATTAGGGACTGTAGTGGTAGGACAAGGGGTAATGGTTTAAACTTAAACAGGGGAAGTTTAGGTTAGATATAAGGAAGAAGTTCTTCACAGTGAGGGTGGTGAGGCACTGGAACGGGTTGCCCAAGGAAGCTGTGAATGCTCCATCCCTGGCAGTATTCAAGGCCAGGCTGGACATTGTCTAGTGTGAGGTGTCCCTGCCCATGGCAGGGGGGTTGGAACTAGATGATCTTAAGGTCCTTTCCCACCCAAACCATTCTATGATTAAACTAGGGGACAGGATCTAATACTGGACTGAACACCATCAGCACAAAACCTGAACCATGTCCAGTTCTTCTTACAGTCATGACTGTTTCAAAGACATACTCTGCCCCAGTATCTGCTACAGACCAGGGAGTACAGGTTTGTTGATGCCTAGAGCTGTCTCCGATTTTGATCCACAAAGGCTGACATATTTGGTTCACTTTTGATACAAGTTAACTAGGTCCATTTGAATTACTAGCGCATCAGAAAATCCTCTGCAAACTAAGAATCTCAGAGGAAAATGGGTTAGCAACCTTTCAGATGTTCTTCCAGCTGAAAATAGACAAGAACTGTAAGCCAGAGACGCACAAAACTGATAGATGCAACACTCCAAGCTCAGTTGGAGCTGAAGTCCACCTGTATGTCCACTTCAGACTAGTCTTGTAAGTTTAACATAGCTGGGTAATTCAACTTGCCATTTAGGACTACAGAGCCAAAAGACATAAATACCAGCAAGTTTTCAATGCAGGCTTTTGGGTCTCACCTAAGTAGAATTTTGAGCCAAGAGTAGAGATCTGTGGTCAGTCCTGACACTTTACTGTCTAAAGGAGCAATAGTGTTTCTCTCTAGAATAAGAAAAGCTGCATAAATTCATCACCATAGCTCAAGTTTTCTGTAATGCAAAGTATCACAGCTTTGCTGACGAGAATGGGATTTATACCTGCCAATACTGGACAGACACTTTGAAAGTGCTATCTTTTGCTTTTACAAAGCACTTGCTCTGCGAAAGTAGGAAGAATTTCCCTAACTGCAACAAGCAATGCAGCTCAGTTGTGGGGAGGTCTTTGTGTAAGACATCCAATTTTCACATCCAATCTTTTCATTGTGTGAACACCTGTACTGGAAAACATAGTTTTCCAGTATAGGCAGAAACCAATATAAAGCAATTTTAAGCCTAGAGGCATGAGAATTACTTGTCTTCATCACTCAGGAATCTATTTTTGTCTAGCTCTGCTTCACTGTTTCTCCACCTCTTCACCATACACAGTACACAACTGCAAAACTTAGACCACGTGGAGCACACCACAGGAGACTCAAACTGCCTGCTGCTTCAGGTACAATTGGCAGCAGTCTAGTAACATGGGTGCAAACCCAAACTAGCACCTTAACATAAGTAAACAGATGTCATCAGATGGGGGTCTCTGATAATTCAAACAAGCAATGCACATTTGGTATAACTCCTAAATCCAGACATATGCCCTATGAAATGCATAGACACAGCAATGACTGCTTGGTTAACCAGCCAGC